GACTAGAGTGAAGTTCGAAGTACGTTCTAACGGGGTTTGTTATGTCGAGGTTTTACTATAAGCCTTTTTTCTATCAATATTCGTTTTGCACGCATTAGGTATTTAAAGCAAGACCTGTATAAAACAATGTATAAATTAAAATATTAAAATATGGATTAAATGTTATAATGTAAATTTCGTAATTGGCCAAGTTATTAACTTTCCGTTTAATAATTAACCATTACAGGTTATTGCGAAATAATATTCCGCGAGCTTGCACTTGCTCTCACGAAATAACAAGATCGCACACACTTTCATATTGTACACACCTCGAACTCCCTCGGTGTTAATTTCACGACCTTTTGCTGAAAATGTCGCCCGCATTCAGCTGAAAACTTATAATAGAAGCCTTACGTTCCCGGTTTAATGACTTATTACTTTAGTAGAGAGAGAATGAGAGAGATGGGAGTCTAATTGGGGCGTGCAGTTTCGTAGTTCATTCGATAAGGATTGGGGAGGAGCGCGCGAGGTTCCCCCGCGGGACCAGATCGATATCGCCGGGAATAAATTTTCACTTGCCTCGAGACGGGCCGGCCCCGACGTTTTTTCTCCTCGCCCTCATTTCCGATTTGCATACGGTTAAAATTTAATAACCGCGGAAAAAGGCGATTACGTGCCCGCGCACGTACCGTAAATCATCTCTGTCGTGATTTATCTCTGGAAAATATCCTTAGGGCCCCCGCTAGCTTTTCGGTAGGATCGCTCTCTTTCTCGTTCAAACAAAACTATCCACTCGAAGAAGAACGGCTAATCGACTATCGAGTACCCTCACTCAATTACTAATATTCAGTTTTTCTTCGTTCTTTGAAAATTCAATATTTTAGACACAACATAGGATGATTTACTGAAATTCCAGATTAATTATTGATACAAGTTGAAATTAATTAAATCCATTATGTTGATTTATCAATTTGTGTTGGTTGGTTATGATTAAATTTAAGTTAGATTTGGTTCAATTTAATAGTAAATTGTCTCAAGGATGGATTTATTACGTTGGAACTTTGAACTGGACCTTTTAATGCAAACAAAAACAGAATTCAACGTCTACAACTGTTAAAAGAAAGATATATTTAATTGTTTTTAGAATGACGATAATATTTAAAACATGCGTTATTTCATCATCATCGAACATGTAAAACAAATTTATCCTTGAATTTCAAATCAACTTAATTTTGTGAGACATGAAATAACATAAACAAAACACAACACACATTTGATTAGTCATTTTTCGATTTACATCCTTTAATGTTCCTAAGAATAGCTCAAATATAAAATAGTATAATATCTCAAATGTTGGATTTTATAAGATGTGAAAGAAAGATGCAAGGTGTATTATGTTATTTATGTGTGATACACAGCATATTGATGTTTTCGTTTCTGTATAAATGACCTCATTAGATAATTAATTCCATCAAATCATTACTCTGCAATTAAAACGGATGGAATAGGTTCATCAAAGCCAGGGACTGGTTTATTACCACAGCTATTCACCTACTCGATAGCTGGCCACAACAGCTACTATATACTATATTAAATTAATTTTATATCGTAGTTGTAATCATATATTTGTTTATTGTACATCGTTATGCAAATATTTGACAGGCTAAATAGCTTAAAGTACTAATAGGAACATTAAAAAGTCAAATTCATTTTCTAAAAAATTTTCATATACGTAGTTTTGTTAAATTTCATATTTTTGACAATAGCGATTTGGTGACCAAATTTCTTATGATACCTGTGGAATCAACAACAATATTAATAAGATTATTACTCCAATTTGATGTCTTTGCGAGTGCAGCCAGACACACTTTTGATTTGCTCAGAACTAAAGGCAAGGATTTGAAATATTTATACCAAAAATAAAAGCTTTTGAAGTATCTTTTACCAAGCATATGTGTAATCTTTAGGTATTGCACCGATTCTTAAATCGTTCAACCTAAGATTTAGTTTTTTAAATGAACTTGGGTTCATTCAAGAATTTAATAATAATAATAATAATAATGCAATTTATTAACCCTCAAAAATCTTTTACATATAAATCACTTTACATAATAAAGAAAATTAAGAAGGTTAATTAGGTAGCCAGGTCAGGCAACACCTTGGTAGTGAGGCCTGCTCTTCCCCTGGCTCCTATGTACTATAACAACAAATAATCCATAACAGCGCAAAAAAGAAATATATATATATAACTAAGTATAATAAGGAAAACTAATTCAATCTTGTCTGTCGCTCACATAGTGACATAAATATTCATAGTAATGAATATTTCTCTCTGCTTTGGAATCTTTTAATAACCGAGTTGGTTTCACTACAGAACTCAAGCAAGCTTTGGTGCAGCCCTATTTTTATGCTGTGTTTAAATATGTACAGGGAGTCCAAATTTCGATGGGTTTGCAGGGTATCTCAGTTATTATGAAAGGTAGAAAGTTGCGGCTTTCGCGAACCTGAGCTACTTTTTTGTGAAACTTACAATGGCGCAAACCAAATTTTCATAGCCCTCTTGGTTTTTGATATACAGGGAGTGTTTCAAAATTTACGGTTTTCAGACACCTCCTGTATCTCGGCTATCCGGAAACGTAAAAACGGGTTCTAATAGATTTTTTCACGTAGAATCCAATGGTGCATGTAGAATTTTTCTAGTCATCATGGTTTTTGAGTTATAAAGAGTTAAGTATTTTAGAAGTTGAGTATTCAGTATTTGAGTTGTGTTTATAACTCAAAAACCGTGATGACTAGAAAAATTCTACGTGCACCATTGGATTCCACATGAAAAAATCTATTAGAACCCGTTTTTACTTTTTTACTAAGTTTCCGGATAGCCAAGATACAGGAGGTGTCTGAAAATCGTAAATTTCAAACACTTCCTGTATATCAAAAACGAAGAGGGCTATGAAAATTTGGTTTGCGCCATTGTAAGTTTCACAAAAAAGTAGCTCAGGTTCGCGAAAGCCGCAACTTTCTATCTTTCATAATAACTGAGATACCCTGCAAACCCATCGAAATTTGGACACCCTGTACATATTTAAACACAGCATAAAAACAGTCTGTTAGTGTCATATAAAAGTGCAAAATTAATGGTATGTGAATTATAGTGTTTTTAGGCAGATGGTGTGCATTTTGTTAGAATTAAACAGTCTGTTAGTGTCATATAAAAGTGCAAAATTTCTTGGTGTGGACCATTCCTGTTGTTTTCATATACTACGGCAGTGGATACATCGGGTTCTGCCACTTGTAATAATGATAGTCTATTATATATATAATAGTCTATATATCTTGGTTTTCTGCCATTGAAGCTAATTGGTCGACCATCAGTTACAGTTACGATGGGCTTAAAAAGAAAGCATCGTTGTTGTTGTAAATCTACCTGGTATTAACATATCGATCATAAAATATTTTGCTTGAGATGCTGATAAGCAAAACTACCCTTACACAACATTCTTTCACGCGGTGATTGACGTTTCAAAAGAGAACTAACCTTACCTAACATTCTTTCATGGGATAATTGGCGTGTCAAAACAAAACTAACCGTGCTCAACATTCTTGCTCGGTTTAATCGACATCACAAAAGAAAACTGACTTAGCCAATATGTGTTTTAATTGATTTTTAGAACTTAGAACACACAGATAAAGTTCCATCGATGAAATGCAAAATCACAGAATAAACATTTATATTATGAAATGATATCAATTGAAGTTGCACATTTGCATTAGCCCAGTAGAAAAGTATCAAGAGAAACAAACATTGCAACACAAAGACGAAAAGCTTAACTTGCAGGATATGTACTACCTGGAAGAAAACGTCTTTATGGTACTCGCATACCAGATTAACTGTAAGCTAACAATTATGCGTAATGTAAAAATTATGACTTCAATTCAGTTTTTTCTGTACAATGTAAGAATGTTATGTCGAAAGTGATTTAATGCGTGGCAAAAACTCACCGGTAAAGCTATCTTTGCTAAAAAAGATGTTTCGATAGAAAATGTCTGCTTTAATCTTTTGTGTCTATTAAATAAAAAAGTTGTATTGATGAAGATCAACTCACTGATTTTATGTGTAAGCTTGTTTTTTGACCGACGGCGATAAATATTGACAGGGCAAAACCCGGATTTACAAGCTGATGGTGTTCTTTTTTTTGCCGCATAGTATCATATCGGGAGGACTAAACCCCAATTGGAAAATCAATAAATAAAAGATCAGGCTGTGTAATGGCTTGTTTCTATATTCTGCTATCTCCAAACACAACGAGATATTGGCAAGTATATGCGCAGAAACGTTCTGAAAACTGTTGGAACTGCATTTTGAGCTTTTTTTTAATAAATTTTCATGAAGGAGTGTAGACCACTGGACTTATTTTAATTATGCGTACCCCTTCTCTACGAATAATGTATTTTATATGGAGGATAAATTAGCATCTTTATGTTGGGGAAAAAGTAATTTACGTAAATTATTCAACGTTTTCGATTAAGTGGATTATTAAATTTATTTATTAAAATTCGATTAATTTTAATATTTAGAATTTCTAATGAAATACACTAAGCACATTAAAATAAATAATAAACCATAAAACGTTAAGAATAGAGAAATTTCAACACGGTTATGAGCGAGTAGAGACATAAAAGAAAATGATTTAAAATTGCGTAATAAAAATCAATCAAAAATTAAATTAAAAACTTGAAAAAAAAACGTTGAGTAAATGACATGACAATTTCATTTTATAAGAGTGGAGCCCTTAAAAAGAAGTGGGCTTTCCCCCCTATTCAAGAGGGGTTCTTGTAAGGTAAGGTTTCTTCTGGAATATTATTTATTCGTTTTCCATAGATTTTTTGAGATTCGTGGCGGCGCGGGACCGTCTCAGTTTTAGTGGAACCTCGCGCACCCGGGTGGGGAACAAGGGGGCCCCGGAATGGTCGTGGCGGGAGGGGTCGGTCGCTCTGCGCTCCTCCGCGCCGCCTGCTACTCCGTCTCTCGCGTCCGTACCGTGATCACACGTAACGCACCGCGCGCCCGGAAACATGCTTAAACCGACCACGCGTCCGGAGGACTCCGCCGGTCACTAAAAAAAAAAATCACCAAAAAAGCTCTTTTTAAAAAATTGTTGTTAAAAAAATTAATAAAAAGCAAAAAAACTGTGCCTGTGTGGATTTTTAATTAAAAACATCAATCATAGAGAATTACTGAAACTTGATCGTGACTGTGTGCTTTACTGAAAAAAAAAAAACGTGAAATAACAGCTGATACTCTGAAATATTCGTGAAGACAGTGAAGTGAAGAAGACAATCGAAATTGGATTCTTTTTTCAGTTTTTTTAATACACTTAGTACTTTCGCCGAAACGGTTGATTTATTTTCTTCTTTTGCCCTGGACAACTTAAGCGAACACCCTGGAACATTTAAGGCCTGTGGTCGCGTCCATCAACACCCTCAACGGATTTTGTGAGAATATGGAGGCAACCTATTGCGTCGGGAACGATGTAGATGTTTGCAGGATGTTTGACCAATATTTATACAAGGTACCTAAAATGTTTATATTTTCATAAAAAATATTAAATCATCAAAGCTTTCATTCAAATCGAACGGCCATAGTTAATCCTGAAAGTTTTTGAAATTTGTGCTGAAACGTTCAAATTTTTAGTTCGCGTTAACACCGCATGGTGGTGTTAAAATTAAATAATTTTCAACATTTTTTAACATGAATATATCATTATAATGTTTATGGTAAACGATTAAAGTTGAATTTATAATAAATATGCCAAACTCATAGATTGTTACCACCAATTTATAGCTTTATATTTTCAAAACTTATTTTATAGTTTGTTGCTTAACTTCCGCCCCATTTCATTGCTTACCAATTATTTAGTTCAAAACTGGTAAATATAAATTATTCATCGAGATTAAAGTTTTATTCTAACATTCATTATTAAAGTCATAAAATTCTCCCAACGTGGAAAATTTATTATTTATTAATTTGAATAAAATATGATAATTACCTTTTAGAAAGATGTTAAGAATGATTCGTGCCATTTTCACTTTATTCAATAAAGATATCTTTAATAAAATCTAGGAATGCTATAAAAATGGCATTTCCCATAAACATTCTATAAAGATTAAGCTTTAAAATAAAAGTAATTTCAAGATTAAATCTCAATTAAAAAGTATTGTATGGTTAATAAAGTTTCATCCCTTAATCGTAATCGAAATTCCAATTCAATCAAAAATGTTTTTTGCAAACAAAAACATAACCTTTAAAGCTTTAATTTAAAAAATCATTCGTTTCATAACTCGTAAAAATAAATTCAGAATGATTTTTAAAAACTTATCAAAATTATCATAAAAAACCACTTTATATTCTCAATCAATGCAATGGGAAATGATTAAATCTTTAAATCTGCTTTATAATTTTTTAATTTATTCGTTATTCATTAAAAATATTTTCAATTTACCTTTCAAATCGTTTTCTTTATTAAATCTTGCAAGATGAATTAATTTGAAACTTTCTTATTTTTGTTGTTGTTTTTTTTAAGAGAAAGTTTTACGTTACATACAAATAATGGCACTAAATTATAAAATAAACTTGTACTTTTCTTTTCGATTAAAAACCTGTTAATTGCTTATTATTTAAGGTTGAATTAACACGCCGCGAAATTTAAATAACAATAAAAAAGGTACTCTCTCAAAAAGAAAAAAAAAAATTCACGACAAAAAGCTTTGCAAGTTTTCCCTTCTTAAATTAAACGCCATCTGCGGACTAACCGAGTTAAAAATTGCACATGTCACCGGCCCAAATAACCCAAGTTTATGGATCATCACTGTTATTCAAAAGTAACTTTCTTTAAAAATTGTTTATATTCACATTTTTAGAAAGTTATTTTTTCATTTTGATAAACTTTTTTGATTAAATAATCAAAACGTGGGAAGTTATTTAAAGAAAATGGTCACGTATACATTTTATTCTTATCATTTCTTTATTTATTTACAGCTTTCTTATCTTGGTGATAATGTAATATGTTAATAGGACAGTTTCAGATAAAATATCTCATCCATTACATAGTTTTAAAATAGTGATTTCCGGGAACTAAACCAATAAACATTTCGTTTTATGTTAAGTGCTTAAAAAATTTAAAGTGCTATTGTGTTAAAAATACTATTCAAAAGGGTGTAAATTTGGAATATAGACCGGTAAAAATAACGTACCATTTTTAAAACTTACCTTTCTTGTACCGGATAAAGTATTTTAGAATAAATTCCTTTCAAATAACGTTTTTCTAACTCTTTTATATCCGAGTCGTAAAAAGGAGCACTTTATATTCTGTATGTTTGGGTTTATTCTATATGTATTCAAATGGTTGAATGTAAATATTTGAATCGGTGCTATGATGTAGAGGAGGAGGAGGCTTTTTCTATGAGAATCATCGTAAAACGGATCGTGAATAAACGTACATTTCAAAATTTACGGCCACGTCGATATCTAGATACATTTTTATTGAATTTAAAACTATAAACTTTAAAATTAGGGGATTTCAAATTGTAAATCTAAATGAAATATCGATAAATTCATCGGACATTTTTTATAAATAAAAAACACTTTTTATTTCTCGCATTACATCATTGTGTATTTTATGTAAACTCGCAAAATAAATAAAATGTCCAAATGGGAAGAGTAATTATTTTGTTTGTTTGTATATCATACATTTTCTCTCGCTTATTTTATCTACTATAATTGTTATCAAATGTTGGTTGTTCATAAATAATATTATCTTTTAAAGCAAATTGTTAAAATGAAAATTAAAATGGTTTCTTTTAATATTGCTTTTTACTGAATTTAGAGAAATAATTTAAAAATGTTTTTAAAATCCATTAATAATAATTTATTTCTGCCTATAGTTGTTATTTTAATCTGACAAATGATTCGTTTAAACTTAATCTGAGATCTCCATTATTCAGGAACATCCTTATCATATTTTTAGAACGAATTAACAAAAACATCACCGCAATGTTATCATACGATTTGTTGTAAAATTTTTAATAAAATTTGTATCATAAACCGTTAATTTAAAAATTTGGAAGATATGTTTTATAAATTATGTCTTTATGATGCGTTTTTTTATTAATACCATTATCATCTACTGTTTTTAATTTTTGAGATAAAAAATATTTTGATGTCAAATGTGTTAAATTTGAAATCTTACGGATTTAAATTCGCTAAGTTGGTAATAATCATAGTTGAGTTATAAACGATTTTGGATAATGTTAAGTTGATTAATTACAAACAATTTTCATCCATCACATTTTCTCCTAGTACTTTTACATTTCGGGTTATACTAAAAATTTGTTATACAAAAATGTAGATTTAGTGAGTTTGAGATTTTATGGTTTATAACTAAAAATGTGGTGTAGTTAGAAAAAAATAGTTTCTGGATTATTTCTTTATGATGTATTATGAGCAATTTTTATCAATACAATTATCATCTACATCTTTTAATTTTTAAGATAAAAAAGATTGTTATTAAATGTGTCAAATTTGGAATATTTCGGATTAAAATTCGCTAAGTTAGTAATAATCATAGTTTGGTTATATACGATTTTGGATAATGTTAAATTAATTAATTACAAACAATTTTCATCCATAACATTTTTCCGTAGCACTTTTAGATTTCGGGTTATACTAAAAATTTGTTATCCAAAAATGTTAATTTAGTGAGTTTGGGATTTTATGGTTTATAACTAAAAATGTGGTATAGTTAGAAAGAAATAGTTTCTGAACTATATCTTTATGATGTATTATGAACAATTTTTATCAATATAATTATCATCCACATCTTTTAATTTTTAAGATAAAAAACATTGTTATTAAATGTGTTAAATTTAGAATATTTCGGATTTAAATTCGCTAAGTTGGTAATAATCATAGTTGAGTTATAAACGATTTTGAATAATGTTAAGTTGATTAATTACAAACAATTTTCATCCATCACATTTTTTCCTAGTCCTTTTACATTTCGGATTATACTAAAAATTTGTTATTCAAAAATATAGATTTAGTGTGTTTGAGATTTTATGGTTTATAACTAAAAATGTGGTGTAGTTAGAAAGAAATAGTTTCTGGATTATTTCTTTATGATGTATTATGAGCAATTTTTATCAATACAATTATCATCTACATCTTTTAATTTTTAAGATAAAAACGATTGTTATTAAATGTATCAAATTTGGAATATTTCGGATTAAAATTCGCTAAGTTGGTAATAATCATAGTTTGGTTATATACGATTTTGGATAATGTTAAATTAATTAATTACAAACAATTTTCATCCCTAACATTTTTCCCTAGCACTTTTAGATTTCGGGTTATAATAAAAGTTTGTTATTCAAAAATGTCTATTTAGTGAGTTTGGGATTTTATGGTTTATAACTAAAAATGTGGAATAGTTAGAAAGAAATAATTTCTGGATTATATCTTTATGATGTATTATGAACAATTTTTATTAATACAATTATCATCCACATCTTTTAATTTTTAAGCTAAAAAACATTGTTATTAAATGTGTCAAATTTTGAATATTTCGGATTTAAATTCGCTAAATTGGTAATAATCATAGTTGGGTTATAAACGATAGTGGATTCTGTAAATATATTCTAAATTTTTCGCTAATTTTATCATTGCATTAGCGTTGGATATAAAAAAAAGTTGAGTATAGACCACTTTAGTTAATTAACTATGGTTTGTGGTGTGGCTTAAATACTAAACACCAGGATGAATGAACGTGGAAATTAAAACTTATGAAAGTTTGCTAATAATCTATTAAACAGCATCTATTCACCAACATAATCTAACTTAGCCTTTGCCTTGTTAAAATCAATAAGAATGAACAAAATTGAAATGTGGCATAAAAATATTCACCTTGAGCTTCTAAATAAAGCTGTAATTATTTAAGAAAAACTTTATTTCACTGGTTTTAGCCAAAATACCTTTTAGAAATTATGAGAAATGGTGTTACACTATTAGAACATACACTGGCTTGTTAATTGCTTGAAAAAATGTCACCCCACTTTCCACGTCAAAACAAGTCTAGAAAACTGGATTCAGATCATTATTCTATACAGTAATGTGGATTTAAATTCCTTTTTCACGAATACAACTAATAAACTTTTGATAGTTTACGGTTAATGAGAATTATAAAACTTGCGCAATCTTTATTTACGAGAAATAATTGATGAATAATAAAAAAGTATTCAAATTAAAACTCAAATTAAAGGTAAAACCATCTATTTTAAGAGAAACCAAAATAACATAAGATTAATGATGGAATTTCCCAGAATAAATTTTCAAATCAAGCGTATCATTACCGTTAAAATTAGAAATTCTTACTTTTTTATTTATGAGAAATTAATTCATTATTTATAGCACAAATTAATATTTAAAGTTGTTGTTTAACAATGACATTTATTAGAAAACATTCAAAATGGATATGTTATTGCCTTTATTTTTGCATAATGGAAATTTATTTAAAAA